TCGTACTTAATCGAGTTAAGTACAAATCCTCAAAGTACTTTCTCATTCAGGGTCAACTCAGACTATTTGATCTCTCAATGGAATTTTTGTAACTTCTTAACAAGATAATTTCGATATTAGCTCTTAATGAAAATAATATAATTTAGAGATCTTATAATTAATTACTTTCTTGAACACTCTCTGATCTTGAAACGATTCTCTTAACAGACTTCTAGTATCCTTCACAAACCCTCCTAGGATCAAAACCGGTTATCCATAATTTCCAAGTAAAACTAACATTTCTTATGCACATCAATATTTTTATCAGATCAATATGTCTGTAAAAACCTCTTATCAAACTTCCATCTTCCAAATCTTGTTTTTTTTATAACATAAGGGTATTTCCGTAATTTTACCCTACCGAAGTATTCTCATAATTTCTCATCCAAGTACCTTTAACATTTAACCTTTGATGAAATAAATTATAAGTTACATATCCATGTTGATTTCTTTATCACTAAGCACATAACTTGTAATTTAATCCTAACAATCCTTCAATTTCTTATAAAAGTCATCTGAACCATAATCAATTACTGAACCTTTTTACCGTATTCAGATCGAGTGTAGAAATTAATCAACTCCACAAAAGTGATCAACATTATCTTATTCATGCATTTACCAATATCAACATATTCCAATAAGCATAAAGAGGTAGTAAATTATTACCTCGATTTCCGTGCAATATTGATTGATCATTAAATTCTATTCGAATGCCCTCGATCTTGAAATCATCTTTCAATATTTCCTCAGATCCATATCAATAGAAATTACATAAAAAAACGGAGCTTAATTATAAAAAAACTGATCGAATTGGATGATAAATTAGTGAAAAATAGCTTACCGAGTTCGAATTTGGCAAAACAGACTTCGGATTCGGACTCAGGACGTCGAAAGCATAAAATATGACTTTTCAAAAATTTGGAATTTTCGGTCAAAATCAAAGTCAACGGGTTTGACTGGCAATTTCGAGATCTTCAGATCCGAATTTCGAAAAACGGACTGCGGAATCAGATTCGAAACGTCAAAAAAAGTCAGGATAGGTATACTCGGTCAAAGTCAAATGTTGTTTAATGTCCGGTCAAAGCCAGTCAAAGTTCTAGTCAACTGTGGTCAACAGTCAACAGTTGACCATTTTACACAAATATCACCCTAATAGAAATTAATTACCAAATTAGCCACATTCTACAAATATTTACTAAACTAACACCCAAATTTTACATAAATAGCACCCCAAACATAAATTAATTACAAAATTATCACCCCAAACTTTGACCGTTTCACCTCCTCACGTGCCACCGTCGACGGAGACAAGGAGGACACCGACAGACTCAAAACGGCACAAGGAACACGATGGTGCAGGAGGTGTCGAAAACGGATGGCCGGATTGTCGTGAATCGATGAAAAACCAACAAAAATTGAGTTATTACCGACGATACTTCCGACTGAAATTAACGACGAACGGTGACGATTCATAACGAAAGGTTTGAGGGATTTTGTTCCTCGGTCGACAACGAACACGATGATGGTTTTGGTTCGTCGATCGGAGGTCAGACGGTGAGTTGAAAGGAGGGTTATTGGAGAAGGAAAACTGGAATTTTTTTTCTACTGAACCTGCGCACGAGGGAGTTTATAATTCATCATATAAAAAATGGTTAAATCATGGGTTTAGTCACTAAATTTCCTGCACTTCTTAAAAAGGTTTGCCAATATTGAAATTTTACAATTTAATCCGTCGTTTCTTTCAAAATACTAATTAAATCCAATACTTTATAATTTCTAAAATTTAGCCCCTAAATTGGGGTGTTACAATTCTCCCCTCCTTAAAAGAATTTCGTCCTCGAAATTCATTCATGTCACATAATTGCAGAAATGAAACTTCCATAAGTTCTTTCATATTTTCAAGTAACTTTTATAGAAGTATGGCTCCTCCACTAATCCTTAACCAATTGAGCATACATTCTTATCAGAATTTTTCCTCATTTCAATAAAAGAATAAGAACGGAAATATCCTTGTAGAATCAATTCAGCCTTGGTTATGAAAATAGGCTCATGGAGTTGTAACATATCCAAATTTCATTTCTGGAGTCAAGTTAGAATTTCTCAGATGAATAACTCTCACATGGCTCGTGAGGTACTTTACAACGTTTAGACAGATGTTAATGGTATTTCTTTTTTGTACAAGTATAGCCTTAACGGATAAAAATTTCGGTTTACTTGTTACAGATAGGGACTCAATCTTGGAGTTCCGGTTCAGAGAGGTACGATTGCAGTCTAGGGGCATATACTGATCAGACATATTTTGACATTCGACCGGCCGGTCTATCTTGAAAATTTTGACTCAAACCATAGCTCTAATACCACTAAATGTAACCCCCTCAGACCGATGTGGGTAACCCAATCCGATCTGGAGTGTCACATTAGGGCCACCGGAGTGACCCATTATAAAAATAGCGAAAAATTTAAAACTTTTATGAAAATATGTAACTCATAAAATGATTTAACAATATGCAGAAATAAAACATATTTTCAGACTCGTATTTAAAACAAAATACAATTACATGCCCCTTAATCACATATACCGTACTCTGCAAACAACATTGGAAAAACTCCCTTACTGAAGTCGATCACTGCACTGGTACAATTCTTTTAACCTGAAATGCTGAGTAATAGAGTGAGATTTGGAAAGCTCAGTAATACAGTACTACCAGATGATGCTGATAAACGTGCAGATACAAATAAACATATATTTCCTTATTGTTTCCGAACATTTACAAATTTTTATGCTGAGCAGAGATCCTACTGATATTTCATGTAGTAACGGACAATGAGCTTTCAGTTCAGAGAAATATTTCAGATGACTGAGTTTAAGAGATCAAAATAGATTATCTAGTGTGTTCCCAAAAACCATGTAACTTTTTAGATCTTTTTAAAATATATATATACCCCCATCCCATCCCAACACAACATAATGTGTAGGTTCCACAGAAACATACACCAACCCACACAACTTGTAAGGCCCTGAGCACAAAGCCGAGGAACCTACGAAAATACTTCCTTCAATAATACCCCCCAATTAAAACATTTTTCCGTCATTAAACGGAGATATTAGAAATCAAAAAAGAATTCAGAACAGATATCATAACAGAATCCAGATCAGAAATCAGAACAAAATTCAGGTCATGTATCAGAACATAATTCAAGTAGAAAATCAGATAAAATATTTATATGATTAGGGAACACACCAGAGTTTACAGATATTATTCAGAGGTACTGGATAATCTTATCAAGCAGAGAAACACATATCTTCAGTATGTCGATAGAATGTTGGAATTTAGAATCACTATTGGAAGAGTTCAATAACTGACGGATCATCAGTTATTCAGAATATAATTTATTAGGACCATCTTATTTGGATAATTTTTGGAAGCTCTACGAAATCTGAAGGGTATTCAGAATCTTTACAATCTATGACGATTAATCCGATTATCGAACAACTCCAGATGAATAGCTTCCAGAACCAATACTTATCAACTTGTCAATTCATTAACCTTCCAGGTTATTCACTCTTTAATACCAAATACTCTTATACATGGATCATCTTCTGAGTCATCACTGAACAGATCTTAAGGAGACGAACAAATATTCTAATGGTCTTTATTTCATTTCCATGTTTTAACTATACTAGGAAATACTGACGTACTTGATTTGTGGTTCATAATCTATAGGGATGATACATCACATAAGTTCATCCGAGTTTCCAAACTTATTCCAATCTCTTACATAATCCTCAGTCCTTGAGGTTACTTGGTTCATTTAGCATTCAAGTCTATTCCAGTTACTTCAGGATTTTCTATAGTAATTCAAACGTTATTGAATTTCAGATACATGTTGCACTTTTGTTCCATTCAATTTGGTCTTCGTGGTTGATTTATCGAACAAACGTCCAATTCTTAGTACTGAATGCGATCTAGAGTTGAGCTGAATACTTCCAAAATTATCATCGATCCAAACTTGAGAAGACAAACATGCGTTCAAATAATATCTATGTCTTTCAGGTACTGACATATCATTAAGGTTGATCGACTCACTTAAGTTGTTCCATAACTTTTAGGGGTAGTACAACACCCATATTTTACTTTGATTCCTTAATTAATTTAAAACAACTACTTAGTCTAGGCCATAAGGGTATTTTGGTAATTCTGGTGCTCCATTTTATTCCATTCATTTCAGAGCTCGAAGATATCCAATCATTCCTGAGCTTGATGATATTCTTGAGTCATTTCCATTACAGTGGTATTCTGGTCATTCTATAGAACCGATGTATTTCAATCACTTTCTTTCATCCTGTCTTATTATTTAAATTCAATCTTATCATTTATTTTAGTCCTTTCGAACAATTCTGACAGCAGAATACCCCCATAAATTATTCTTCAGGTATTAACTCATTACTCGAATATTTTTGGGTCAAGTGCCTTCTCAAAATTTACAAACGGAATATCATGAATTTTTCTGTACAAAGACAGGACCTTAATAATTAAATTCTTACTTAATTGAGTTAAGTACAAATCCTCAAAGTACTTTCTCATTCAGGGTCAACTCAGACTATTTTATCTCTCAATGACATTTTCGTAATTTCTTAACCAGATAATTTCGATATTAACTCTTAACAAAAATAATATAATTTAAAGATCCTATGATTAATTACTTTCTTGAACACTCTCTAATCTTGAAATGATTCTCTTAACAAACTTCTAGTATCCTTCACAAACCCTCATAGGATCAAAACCGGTTATCCATAATTTCCAAGTAAAACTAACATTTCTTATGCACATCAATATTTTTATCAGATCAATATGTTTTTAAAAACCTCTTATCAAACTTCTATATTCCAAATCTTGTCTTTTTTATAACATAAGGGCATTTCCATAATTTTACCCTACCAAAGTATTCTCATAATTTCTCATCCAAGTACCTTTAACATTTATTCTTTGATGAAATAAATTATAAGTTACAGATTCATGTTGATTTCTTTATCACTAAGAACATAACTTGTAATTTAATCCTAACAATCCCTCAATTTCTTATAAAAGTCATCTGAACCATAATCAGTTACTGAACCTTTTTACCGTATTCAGATCGAGTGTAGAAATTAATCAACTCCACAAAAGTGACCAACATTATCTTATTCATGCATTTACCAATATCAACATATTCCAATAAGCATAAAGAGGTAGTAAAGTATTACCTCAATTTCCGTGCAATACTGATCGACCTTTAAATTCCATTCGAACGCCCTCGATCTTGAAATCATCTTCCAATATTTCCTCGGATCCATATCAATAGAAATTATATAAAAAACGGAGCTTAATTCTGAAAAATGGATCGAATCGAATGATAAATCAGTGAAAAACAACTTACCGAGTTCGAACTTGGCGAAACGGACTTCAGATTCGGACTTAGGACGTCGAAAGCATAAAATATGACTTTTCGAAAATTTGAAACTTTCGGTCAAAATCAAACTCAACGGGTTTGACTGGCAATTTCGAGACCTTCGGATCCGAATTTTGAAAAACGGACTACGGAATCGGATTCGGAACGTCGAAAAATGTCAGGATAGGTATACTTGGTCAAAGTCAAAGGTCGTTTAATACCCGGTCAAAGTTCTGGTCAACTGTGGTCAACGCTGGTGGTCAACGGTCAACAGTCGGCCATTTTACACAAATATCACCCTAATAGAAATTAATTACCTAATTAGCCACATTTTGCAAATATTTACTAAACTAACATCTGAATTTTACACAAATAGCACCCAAACATAAATTAATTACAAAATTATCACCCAAACGATGCCCACTCTCGGGGTGGCGTGTGGCGCGTGAATAGTGCTACGGTGTCGGAAAATTCCTAAAAATTATTTTAAGCGATTTTGAGGCACTTGCAAAGCTCGGTTCATAATTTTGAACGACGAGAGCTCGATTTCAAAATATCGGAAACTTTGACCGCTTCACCTCCTAACGCTCCACCGTCGACGGAGATAAGGAGGACACCGATAGACTCGGAACGCGATAGTGCGTAAGGTGTCGAAAACGGATTGCCGGATCGTCGTGAATTGACGAAAAACCAACGAAAATCGAGTTATTACCGACGATACTTCCGACTGAAATTAACGACGAACGACGATGATTCACAACGAAAGGTATGAGGGGTTTTGTTCCTCGGTCGACAACGAACACGATGATGGTTTTGGTTCGTCGATCGAAGGTCGGACAACGAAATTCGAGCAACTGGAAGATCAAAGTGTCGAAAATTCAGAGGCACGATGCTTGGGTCATCACAAGGTATAATGGTCAACACACATGTTTGTAAAACTTCATCGAACAAGACCATCGAGTATTGGACTCCAATGTAATATACGAATACGTGAAGGTGTTGGTTAAAAAAATCCAAGGAGTCATTGTTCAATGTTAGTTGCATCTATTCGAAGCTAGTTTGGATACCATGTAAAATACAACAAGGTTTGGAATGAAAAATTTAAGGCAATGAATCTGACGTATGAAGATTATGATATATCTTACAATGAACTATCAAATTTGTTACAAGTAATGAAGCAATTCATCCAGATAAACATAGTAAAGTCTCAAACCATGCCTGCATACGACAAAAAAGCTCGGTGAACTTGTTCCAAGGAAGAAAATATTTCATAGACTCTTTTGGGCATTCAGGTCATGCATAGAAGGAATTCTATTTTGGAAACTGATACATGCACCAGAGTCCATAATACATGCTTCTTTGGACAAATGTTTCTACTCGAACCTATTAGAAGAACAAAGTCTCGAAGATTCAAAGCATATCTATTCGGTAAGTATAATGTGAATGAATCATTAAATGATTCTAATGTTGCTCCCTTTAATGTTTCAGATTCGAGGTCGAATCTTTTTGGAGAAAGGGAGGATGATACATGCATCACAAGGCTCACATCAAAGGAAGAAATAATAACTCTTCCAAATGATCCACTCGTCCAAACATTGGAAAAGAAGATCAGAACAGAAGCAGACTTACGACGACTTTTTGAATGGGATCCTGATCTTATTTAGTCAATATGTCTTCTGGAGATACGACCGTCTGTCTCTTATCTTTCCAATGGTTCTTAAATCGCATCAATCCGATATCGGGAACTCAAGATATGGCTATTTTACTGAAGACGGTGCATGCAGAAAAATCCTATACGGGATTAATACGGAATATTGTAAATATTACGAATTTTCAATATTTTTATTGATTATTTGTAATATAACTTAGTATAGGATGATGCATTATCTTTTAGGATTAGACTTATTATTTTATTAGGAATTAAGGTTGGGTTAAAATATTATCTTTAGTTATTATTATTTTATTAGGAATTAGAGTTAAGACACGTTTAGTTTATTATTATTTTATTCATTAGTTATTTAAGACATTTAGAACTCAGCCCCTATATAAAGGAGGCTTCATTCAACTTTGTAAATAAGATTTCTTTGATCAATATTACAACGAGAGTTTGTTTTTGCAAGTGCTGATTGCCTTGTGCCTTCGAAGCTTCTTCTCCTGGAGTTCTTTCAAGTTCTTGTGAGGGAGATTAATCTTCACACTCCAATTTACCTTTTCATCGCGACTAGGAGGGTTGGTTAGAGCCATTTATCGTGTTTTCCTTTTCATTGAGACTAGGAGGGCTCGATAGGACACTTATCCATCTATTTTTCCACAAATCCATCCGCACCATCAATCATCTTTACCGTTCACCTTCATAAGGGAGATCTTTTGATTTCTTTATTATCTTATTTCATCTTTCATTTATTTATCTTTTGTTTATTTTATTCTAATCGTTTTGTCTTGATTCTAGCACATAAAAGAAACCCTAAACAATCCTAGCGACTGCCGCCACCTTCCCATATTCATCACCTTTGTTCTTCATCGAGTCTAGAGCTTTCTAGGTTTGATTCTTCAACAAGAGCAACGTTCAACAATCCGCCACCGCTTCCCTATCAGAAACGTATGGTCCAAGTAGATGGCATATAGTTGTATAGTCCATATAAGTATGTATTGTTAATAGTAGTTGCACAAGACGATGAACAAAATATATTCCAACTTGCATTTTTCATTGTTGAATGATAGATAATAGAGACTTGAGATTTCTTTTTGACCAAACTATGTCAATATGTTATTCGAGAAGATGGAGTTTGCTTGATTTTCGATCCAGGAACATATATTTTGGCGGTAATTAAACAACCAGGAAGTCATTAGATACCTTCACATGTATATCCCATATTTTATATCTGTCATATTGGTAAGAACAATATCAGTTTCATAACACCCGCATTCGTAGTGAAATAGTAAACATGTGTAAGTTTTATTTTATTTTCAATATGTGTGTATCCAGTTATGTATTTTTTAATTGATGTTTAACACAATATATATTATGAAACATGATACAAACTGCTTCAACCAAATTTTGATAAGAGGTTGGAGAATTTGAAGGTGTTTATGGTGAGTGTTTGGAACTAGGCTTTGAAAATTCTATGAGAAAAATGGTCACAATAATAGGATGGAGGTTGGTGATACGAACACATGACAACAAACCTTATTGAGGCCATTAATTCTGTACTAAAATGTACACATCATCTCCCAATAGCGAGTGTGGTGAAAGAGATGTACTTTAGGTTGGTTAAGGGTTGGTTTGATAAAGGGAGAGAGATTTAGTGTCTCATAAATAGAGGTCAAACTTGGGCTCATGCACTGATGGAAGCAATGAAAGCAAATGAGTGATTGGAAACCTCAATGTTTGTTCATAACTTTAACTGAATTGCCATATTTTTGTTGTCATGCATACGCCGCAACAAAGGAGGAGAAAGTTAAATATTTAGAGTCGATTTATGACATAGATGGTGACTATAGTCATTTTCAGGCATGGAGAAATTCATGTGCTCATTCAGTCGATCCATGTATATATATCAGTATAAACGCGTACACTTATGTTGATAAGTGTCTTCACATATAGAGGATATTAAATGTCTACAACTATGCTTTCAGATAGATTAATCACATTGGACAAAAAAGGCTTATGATAAATGATTGCCAAATCCAATGCTTCGTAGAAGTCCAAAGAGTCGACCTGAGTCCACTCGTATTCATACTAATATGTATTTCCATAGTAGAGAGAAAGCTCAATCGAAGAGATACATATTATGTAGGGTGAAAGTCATTAAAAAGTGTCCAAATCTGGCAAGATCATTAGTAATCATATATGTATTTGTATTTGAATGAATATTTGAATTTCTTTTATTTCAATTTGAATGAGTTTGATGGATAGATTTCCATATTTTATTTGAATGAATGAATGAATGGTTAGTTTTTCGTATTTATTTTTTAATCAATGTGATGGATTTTTCACATTTTATTTGAATGAGTGAGATAAATTAAATGAAATTAAACCACCTGATTGGAAAAATAAATAACATTTTCTTTAATATTGAGATACAAATAACAATGTAATGTTTATAATTCTTGTTGGTGCCAGGGTGTTAAGGAATCATAATGTAAAGGTGGGTATTGATTGTGTTATGGCCGTTACAGTTGCTCAGAAGTTTGATAGTCATCCTCTTCATTCACAAATGCATATGATTTGGTGTTGTAAATATATACCCACCACTCTGCTCTCCCATTCCACCAATCTATTCACATATCTCTGTTGGAAACGTAGACTAACAAATAGTCGTATTTGACATCATGGATGTCATGTGCTCAAAATCATACGTTGATTCAAACATGTGAGAGTAGATGAGTACATGAGGATATATCAACTTGGATGGCTGCAGGATGCTTAAACTCAAGTATGTATGTTGGAACAATAGAATCATTAAATGCTTGATGAAACAATCCCGCTTCATGGTGAGAAAAACTCTCACTCGGTATAGATTTTTTGATTTTACCGTAAGTATTCTTATATTTTTGAAATTTCCGCCTTTCACTCTGAGTTGTCAAGTAAGACTTTCCATTATCCCAATAATAGCTAAGGTAAGTCGAAGTCTAAAAATTCAAAGTCATCATCTTGAATGGGAGTAAGAGCTGACAAGTATGAACCTCTGTTGTTCCAAATATTAATGAAGTTTGCATGCTTCTGAACCCAATTCTCCTCATGCTTACCCCGTGCATCTAATTTGTAGAGATCCTCGTGATTGTATGGAAACTGCGAAATAGGTTGTCAAACTACCTCAACACTTTATTCCAAGACTAAAACTTGACAAAAACAAAATAAATCAACGGTGTAATAACACACCAATATTGACAACCATCTCAAACATCTTGTAGCAAACATGAAGTAATTTCATCACCTACGTACGACCCCCAAATAAACTGTAAAATAAATTTAAAAATCATATAAATTAATTTTGCCTTATAAAATAATAATAATAAATAAATAAACATAAAAATTTAAGGTAAGCATAATAGAAAGAGGAAAAGAAGTTACTTTAAAATTCAATTCATATATATATATATATATATTGCTTCTAATGTCAATATTCAACATAAACTCTTTAAAATTGTTATGTACCAATCTCGTTCTTTCTATTTTATGCACTCATGTGTAAATCAATTAAAAAATATTCGTTAATTATTTTTAATAAAAATAAATAAAATAATAATTAAGATTGTAAATCAAAACCAAATAGAAATATTACCTTTCAGCAAAAGAAAAATAATCGTAGTTCGACTAATCGTGTTAAAAATGAAAGTTTGTGCCAAGCCCATGATTCTAGTAACATCAAACATCCACAGATTCCCATTGTATTGATACCATTTACGATTAATGAAGCCTTTCACATCTTACAGTACAAGAATGCCAATATCATTGTTCCTTAACTATATTGACGAATATTCTCAAAATTTTATAAAAACGAGAGATACTGAGTGTGAACTAAATTACCAGATTTATCATGCACCAAAATTCCCCCAATCAATTGCAATATATATGCTCGAGTTGCATATAAAAATTTCTTGCTCGGTATTATCTCGATCGAGCGAAAATTGATTCTCCAACTATCATAGACTCAAACTTCGACCTTTTATGTAATACTCTCTTCCCATATATGATCCCATAAATCAAAAATGTCACATCAACCATTCACAAACATTCACCATTGAAAGACGCTAAAAAATTTGTATTTTTTTAAATTGCTAAATCGAGCAATTATTTAAAAATAGTAGTTGCGTAAAAATTGTAAATTAATATTTTAATATCAAAATTGGACTTAGTTTTAGACAACAATTAGGCAATTCAATACTGTATCATAAACTGTCAGAAAACTATCTGATTTAAATATTGTATCGATTGTAAATAAATACGATTTAATAAACTAATATTCATAATTAATAAAGTCTTTTTTAAAACTAAACGTACGTAACTTAGAAAAAAGACGATTTAAACAGATTTGAATAAGAGCAGTTAAAAAAACATCTTTAATAAACAAATGAAAATAATAAAATAGGAAGTCTTTATTGGTTCTGGTGGCATATGTTACTTCCCAAAAATGATACTAAAGCGTTCCCTACTTTGCTCGCTTGCTTGTACCTGCATGTGAAACAAAATTGTAGAGAATCTTGTAATCTTTCCGAATCAATGACTTTAAACAACAATCTATTAGGGTCTGACAAAGGAAATAACCGATATCAATTCTAATCAAATATCTCTCTTGACAATTTAATCAAATATCTCTCTTAATAGCAACTTATACGCACCTTATCCTTGCCTTATGGGCCAAAACGTTTATCCTTCACTCTATTTTTTCCCGAAATCAATTCTAATCAAATATCTCTCTTGACAATTTAATACTTATCTTATTCATCGATTTCAGGGTCATATTCAGTCTCAAGTTCAATTTCGCGTTCTCCAAACATAATAGTAGATTTCCCTTGGTCGATATCCTCTTTTTCAAATGAGTGAATTACAACCACATTTTAGCTTCTTCCACGCCAATTGGGAGGAACATTCTTTTCACAAAATAAAAGATCTCTTACGACGCTAACCTTTCTAGAACGGTATATAGAGTTTTCTCTAGTTTGTTCGAATTAGGAATAACCTCAATCTTCCTTTCAGCATAATCATGTGGCAATAACACTCCTCACTGTGTCAATGCACCATCATATGCAGACCGCCCAAGATGATCGATATTAACTTTCTTATCCTGATTATTAACTTCAAGAGGAAGTTCTAAATCGGTAGTTCGAAACAAATTTTTCCTACTTAGGACATCTAATTTGATTGCATACTATTTCACGCTAATAAAAATCAGCATCATTCATCAAATCATTTAATCACACCATATCAGTGACTCGGACATCCTAATGGCATGTATATACTTTTAAACACTTTAACATGGAAAATCCATTTAATCCGACTGATCCACATCAAATTTCTTCAATTGAAAATATCAGAATAATGTTTCTAACCTCATACTACCATCCTTCAAATTTTGTAAACTTTCAATTCAATCCGAATATCTAAATATTTTACTAAACTCTACTTATTAATAAATTTTTCTACAAATCCCGAATCAAAAATTTGAAACACACGAAAATACTACTTTTAAAGGGAACTATTTATTTACGGGATCAAAATATATAACTTTTAAAAATCACACTTTAGGTCCCTAAACTTTTCCAAATTTATATTTTAGCCATAAAACTTTCAAATTTTACATTTTGATTACTTGTTGAAATTTTGGGTATTACATTTTAATTTTGGTTTTACTATCATCTTACCAAGTAACACATTACAAAGTTGATACACCTTGTAATCATTTATCCGCACCACTAGCATCCCATTTGTTGGGACCCCGGGTTACATGTCCACGTCCTTCAAAGTTATTGTGCATTCTGCCACGAAAATCAAACGTATGTGTTTCTGGTCTCCAATGTTCAATCAATGTACTGATCTAACATGAGACCAACTTATACTCTCGAACAAATGTTACATAGTAAAATTCAGCCTCTTGCAATTTATCTTCAATCAAATGTGTGGCTTCATGTGAATATTTACTTGATGACGGAAGACTCGCTACGCATCTTCCTACAATTAATTAAATCCCATGAAGTTAATTAATTAATCATAAAATAAAATTCTAATATTTAATAATAATAATTCGTTCTCAAGTAAAATAATATTATTATATTAAATAATAATAACACTGTCATTTCTAAATGGCTAGAAATATGTATATTGTCAAGTTTCAGTAGTTGTTTTGTTCTACCATTTGAATGAATTTGTAACATTTTTTTAACAATAGTAGATCACTACAGAAAAATAGATCTATAGCGACGTTTTAAAGCGTCGTTAAAACTACTCCCGGCGTAAAAAAAGCCATAAAAAACGTCGGCCAAACTGGCACCACAAATGTTAATGGCGTTTTACTTTCACAAGTGTCGAAATAGGTCAAGTTCTATAGCGGTGTTTTACTTTCACAAATGTCGCAATAGGTCAGGTTTTATAGCGGCGTTTTTTATACAAACGCCACAATAGGTCAGGATCTTTAGCGATGTTTTTTATACAAATGTCGCAACAGGTCAGGTTCTATAGCGACATTTTTATACAAATGCAACAACAGGTTTGGTTCTATGGGGGCGTTTCTGATACAAAGGCCGCAATAGTATGGTTCTGAAGCATCGTTTTTGTACAAATGACGTTAATTTTTTGTACTTCGTTAGTGGCGTTTTTCATTCTAAAATGCCGCTAACCACAACCGATTTTCTATGGGGTTTTTCCTGCTTTTTATTACCCAAATTTAACATTTAACAATATCGAATAACAATCTTGAAATGTTTTTACGATTCCACTTAAGTAAAAATACATAAAAAAATATATATAAATCAAAGTTTACAAACATCCAGCTGAAATATAACGTCATTCATCATTGTTCAACATTGTTCACTACAATAATATTTACACTGCATACAAGTAGTCTACTACTTACAAGGTAACATAGATGCTCAAGTGTAAATCCCTTTGTGGATAGCCTTCCTGGGGTTGCCACCAATATATCCACAACCCTGATCTTTTACAAGACACAATCGAAAGAAGAATAAATATATGCTGTTACATTTTTAATCCATGAATACAAGTAACGTGGCCTATAGGAATCAATCAAAATACAAAAGAGTGGTAGCAAACTGAAAACTTGGTTTTCCCCTCCCAAGTTTATAGGAATCAATCAAAACACAAGGGTGATAGCCAACTGCTCCTGCAAATGATCAAATTCCAATAATCAAAGCACATATGGTATCCCATAGTTGCTTGAGAATAAATTCCAATATAAATGATTGTCAATATCAGAAGTAAATAGTATAAATATTCTTCAGACTTAAATAGTCAAACAAGTAACAAAAAGGAATACTTTCCAACATGAAAAAGAAATTTCATATGGGAAAATAATAAGGAAATCGCATGCAGAAAATAATGATCAAGTTCAGTGCTCAGCCAAAAAGTATTATAATACATAGACATGCGAGGAAAGGTGAAAAAACATATTTGAGCAAAAAAAAAAATCAAGTTAATCTATTGTACATCAACCTACTTAAGCCACAAATATCAGAGCCATGTCAAACACTGATTATTCTATCGAATTTCATCATAAGTCAACCAGGGATATTTTCATATCAGCATAAATAATAAGTAGGACAAAAGATGGCATCAATAAACTTAAACTAGATAAAACTCATTAAGGCAAGATAATAAACGTGAAATTTAAAAAGCTTAATAGTAAATTTGATATCATAAACATGAAATTTATATGTTTAGTTTCTAATTCAATTTAGCCTAAGAACCAAACAAAATTGCAAACAAGGAGGAAAAATAATAATTTCCTCGCTTCAACTTGCATAAGAACGTAGTTGGCTTCTTTAATTTATTCTCATTCCTCTCACCACTCAAAAACGGTGTAGCTCTCCTATTTCCCATCCGTGAGCCTATCATCGAACCATGCCCTTTGGCTGAAGACGTCATTTGGGCCTTCAGGGAGTCGGGAAATAAAATTAGAAGCCAGACCTAACAAAATTGTATATGCAGATAAAGAAACAAAGCCAAAATATACGAGTACGATGTAAACATATCATAAAGAAACTCTAACAGAATGCCAAAAACTGAGAACAGGCTAGCAACTTGCGTCACTAGAGACCCAAAAATAAAGCTCATAATTGTGTTTAAACTTACTGACTTGAAGAACTAAAACTAAGTTTTAATATTTTAGCTTATCCATTCTGAAACTCAAGAAAAAGTAAACATGAAATGTGAACTAAGTACTGCCATACTGCAATCTGTAGCTTGATTATGAGAACATATTTAACTGAAAGTTAGTAGTAATTCAGATAGCATTTCAAAGTTCAAACTAAAATGCCAAATTCCATGATTCCGAATCTTTCAAAGCTATTGAATGTGAATCAATAAAAGGCAGGTAAAAACAAAAGAGACATTAGAATGTTGGGGAAATACCTCAAATCTTTCAGCAGCAACAGCCTCTTTGATCAACCTCCTAAATCTCAAAACAGGCTCCTCTTCCTCGAATATCTTCAAAGAATCACGTATCATCGCAGTTTCTTTATAATCCTAAAATCCCAAACAAACCTTCTTGCCTCGTTTATATAATTAGAAAAATGAAAAGGAAAAAACACAAAACAAAAGAGAGATAGAAAAGAGCAGACCTCAGATTTAGCAGCAGCCTCCATTTGTTGTTTCAACGTTGCATAAGTTTGTAATTCTATAGTGGCGTTTCTGTTGAAAACACCTCTAATTTTGACATTTAGTAGTGTTTTTTATATGAACACCGCGATGTGTAAAATATTATCCGCGTTTGTATAGTAAACGCCGCTAAAAACTCATTCTGATGTAATGAAATCATCTAAAAATTAATTTAAACAAAGATAATTTAATCTAAAAATAATCTAAACTAACTAACTAATTTAAACAACAACAATAAAAATTTATCTATACTAATTTATGAATAAAATAATCAATCAAAATTTCTTCTTTCTTTCTTCTCCTCTCCAAGTCTCTTCTTTTCACTTGATTTTCGGTTCACCCATATCCTATATATTTCAAATGTCATCCCCTTTACATAATTATTATAACATTATTGGGTACCAATAATGGTACCATGCACGCATTATTGCTTCCCGTATCAATTGTTTTTTTGCAGCATTATTGCTGCCATGCATGCATGCAGCTTCACGTGAGTAAGAGCTGGCGGGAAGCAGGAGAGCAAACCGAAGACACATTGCAATTGCTGCGTTTCCCCTTGGTCGAATACGTATTGCAATTGTTGCGTTCCCCCTTGGCTGAAGACGCATGGTAGTCCTAGCGACACACCATGGACGCGAATAGTAAAACTTTTTTCATTACATTATTGTAAAAACAATTTCGGTGAAGTTATAAAATTTTAAGAGAGGTGAATTTATAAATTTTAAAAATAATAATAAATTATTAATAAAAATAAAAATATCTAAAATATATTAGAATTTAATTTTTTTTAAGATGTCTCCGTCAATCCTTAGGTACATTCCTGAATTAGAATTACTTAAAAGTATTAAACTTTAATACAAAAGAATAGAAATCAATAATTATGTGCACATGAGATATACTAATATTTGAAAAAATTACTTATCTAAAAATTCAAACTAATAAATAATAATTTGTGTCAAGGGAATTTATAGTACAATAATAAAATATTTTTATTAAAATTAAATTTTAGTGGACCTTAAAGCCGGATTAATCTTAAACAACCTATTCCTATTAATTTATGTGGCATTTAAGCTTTGGATTTTTATTTTATATCTCATAATTTGGAAATGTGCTATTGGTTATTTAACTCCAACCTATATTTTTTTATTGTACTATAATTTTTTACAAAATTTTACTCTAAATTTAATTAGGGATGGGCACGGGTCGGGTCAGATTTTTGGCCTATCTGACTCCGACCTGAGAAGTGTTATACTCTACCCATCACCCGACCTATCTCCGATTTTGAAGAGTTCCATCCGACCCAAAATTTGATCGGAAAACCCGATCCGACCTATCAATCCCAGATTTTCCTTATTTTCTCGTTTATTCCCATCTTTTTAATATTTTCCCAGTTTTCTTACTAACCAAACACACAAACAAACATAAAAATAAAATGAAAAACTATGTTGAACTATGGGAAATCTGGAATTTTTAAAAATAATTTCAAAAAACAAAATAATAACTAGAAGAAGAAATCTAATCCATAAATGTTGCATGCGATACTTGAATCATCATTCGAAATTTGAAAGACAATCTTTAAAAAATTGTTGCTATGAGATGAGAGAGACCATAGATGATTGTTGTTGATGATGGTAAAAAACAAAATAAACTCTAAAAATGCATAGGAAATGAAGAACAATGAAAAAAAATTAAAAAACAAAAATAGGAAATGGAAAACAAAAGAAAAACAAAGAAAAAGAGGGAGAAGGAGAAGGAGAGATAGGAAGAACGACAAAAATGTGGGAGAAGAGAAATGAAAACAAAACCCTAAAAATTATATATATATAGTGGTATTTTTGTAAATACATTAAATATTATTTTATAATTATATCGAGTCGAGTTAGATATTTTTTAGTCTAAATCTGACTCTAACCCGAACCCGATATTTTCTTATATGTAACCCTACCTGAACCCGATTTAAAAAAATCAACTTTATAGGGTCGGGTCAAAACCCATCGGGTCTGGGTTAAATGCCCATCTCTAAATTTATCATTATCTTTCAACTAAGAATTTTCAAAAACCTCTCTATCACAGCAGTTACTTTTTCTCTACAACAGTTATTTTACTTGGCCGCCAGTTACGCAAGTTTTTCTCTTTCTCAGGCAGTTGTGGTGACCTTACACGACTATCTCCCTGTCATGTTGTTCCTATTTTTCGTTAATTTTTATCTACTTTTACTAGTTTTCAATTATAGTTTAACATATTTTAATAATGATGTTTTTTCTTGGCCATTTTCTGATAAAGAGTATCATGGCTACTAGAGCTTTTTGGACTTTCGATGCAATTTTTTTATTGGTCTTCTTCTAAATCTATGCTTCTTCATAATTTCATGGTTGATTGCTTTCCCAATGCCTGGCTTTTTTGTTCGTTTGTCCATGACGATCAGTTGGTTATTGAATAGCTAGCCGAATGTGATTGTCGTTAAGGGGATATCGCTTTTTCATTTGTCTGTTTTGGATTTTCTTTAAGTTTTTCTCCTCTATGTTTGATGCTTGGGGCCGTAGGAGTGATATGTTTATGTACGTCGTTGCCTTAATTATTTACGCTATTACTTATTAGGCCATCACTAGTCGATCATTGTTATATTTTACTTATGATAGTCACGATTGTATTTGTCCAGTATGTATTTGACACAACGTTGTTAATGATGTGTTGAACTATATTTTGATATAATAATTTAAGGCAAAATGTTTATGCACTTGAATTGAATTTGTTCAAAGTTTTCAAAAATAATTCAAAGTCCATTTATAAGTGGAATTGAGCACAAAACGTTTTTCTAGACAACTAGTACCGATACTGTAAGAACATTATCGATACCTAATGAACATACCAATACTATTCATATGGTACCGATACCAAAGGTAAGGGAAGTATCGATACTCACTAGGTAGTATCGATAATCACTAGGTAGTACCGATAATACCATCAATGCTCAAATTCCAGAATACAAAAATGGTACCGATACTCAAAGGGGTACCGATACTACTTTATATAGTAATATCGATACCATAGGCATAGTATCAATACTATCAGACCCCAAGGGCTAGTAACGGCTAGTTAATTTAAATATAACAAAGGTAGTATCGTTACTCCCTTTAGGAGTACTGATACCCTTTGTTCTGGGAAGCTTTATTTTGCACGAAAATTGATCCCCAACGACTCCAAAACACCTCCAACGGCTAGAAACGTTCACAAAAACATTCCAACATATAAATA